AGACAACTGAGGCCTGAGTGAGGTCCTCCAAGTGGTTGACCTGCCCTTGTGATTGCTGCACCTACTGCATGCCCTTCCCTATTTGGCTCCACACCTGTGTCTACACATCTGGTTAATCAACCTGCCTTTAATCCGGAGCACCTTGACCTATCTTACCTACAAGAGGCTGCTCTCACAGGCTCTGAACTGACATTTCCCAGGAGTCAGACGTTTAGACAAAAGCACAAGTGGGATAGCTACCCAACTGATCTCTAGAGCATTATCTTCATTGAGAACATATCAATGTCTCAAAGAAGGCAAGCTGTCCCACACAATACACAAGCACTAAGCAAGATATCACCCCCAAAGGATGACACAGTATCAAAGATTTCCTGAAGGCAGAAAGTCTGATGGAACTTTCTGACACAGAATTTAAAAGAACAATGATTGAATATTTTCAATGGATGAAAGAAAAACTTGAAGAATTACAGGATACTACAAACAAAAAACAGGAGGAACTAAAAAAAAACATTCCAGAACAATGTATATAAAACAAATGAGGCATTAGCCGCACTGGAAAAACAAGAAACCACTATCCAAAATATGAGGTCCAATGTTTCAGATGCTGTCAACATGATGGAGGGGCACATGAACAGAACTGAAGAGATGGAACAAAGAACCAATGAAATAGAAGACAAAATTGTCACCACGGATTTGCTAGACAAAAAGCAGACTGAAAAAGGAAGGAAAAAGAAGAAAACCTAAGAATAATGTGGGACACCATCCAAAGAAATAACATGCGCATCATTGGAATCCCAGAAAAGGAAGAAGCAGGTAAAGACACTGAAAAACTTGTGGAAGAATTACTAGAGGAAAAATTCCTAGGTATAAATACAAGAAGCTCAGCGAACACCATATAGATTAGACCCAAAAAGAAAAACATCAAGGCATATCCTTGTAAAATTTTCCAGAACCAAAGATAAGGAGAGAATCCTGAAAGCAGCAAGGGAAAACAGAGTAACCTATAAGGGAGAGCAGATAAGATTAAGTACTGATTTCTCAAAAGAAACCATGCAAGCAAGAAGAGAGTGGAAGGACATATATCAAACACTCAAAGAACACAACTGTCAACCAAGAATAC